GGGAGGTGTCCCTGCCATGGCAGGGGGGCACTGGGGGGCACTGGGGGGCACTGGGGGGGCACTGGGGGGCACTGGGGGGCACTGGGGGGTTTGGGGGTCCCTCAGAGCTCACCCGGGGTCACCTCTGGGCACCACGGAGGATTTGGAAAATCGGGATTTTACTCCTGGTGCTTCCCAGCTGAGCCCAGCCTGAGCACCCAGAGCTCCGGGCTGGGCACTCCCAGGGCTCCCTCACCCCTCCAGCCCCAACATTCCCCCAGCAGGGCCGGGATCCGGGGATCTCCCTGCTCCTGGGATCTCCTCAGAGATCTCCCTGCTCCTGGGATCTCCCCAGGGATCTCCCTGTTCCTGGGATCTCGTTGCTCCGGGGATCTCCCTGGGATCTCCCTGGGATCTCCCTATTCCCTGGGGATCTCCCTGAGGATCTCCCTGGGATCTCCCTGCTCCTGGGATCTCCCTATTCCCTGGGGATCTCCCTGCTCCCTGGGGATCTTCCTGGGATCTCCCTGTGGATCTCCCTGGGATCTCCCTGGGATCTCCCTGTGGATCTCCCTGGGATCTCCCTGCTCCCTGGGATCTCCCTGAGGATCTCCCTGAGGATCTCCCTGTGGATCTCCCTGGGATCTCCCTGTGGATCTCCCTGTGGATCTCCCTGGGATCTCCCTGTGGATCTCCCTGGGATCTCCCTGCTCCCTGGGATCTCCCTGAGGATCTCCCTGAGGATCTCCCTGTGGATCTCCCTGAGGATCTCCCTGAGGATCTCCCTGAGGATCTCCCTGAGGATCTCCCTGAGGATCTCCCTGAGGATCTCCCTGAGGATCTCCCTGAGGATCTCCCTGAGGATCTCCCTGAGGATCTCCCTGAGGATCTCCCTGAGGATCTCCCTGAGGATCTCCCTGAGGATCTCCCTGAGGATCTCCCTGAGGATCTCCCTGAGGATCTCCCTGAGGATCTCCCTGAGGATCTCCCTGAGGATCTCCCTGAGGATCTCCCTGAGGATCTCCCTGAGGATCTCCCTGAGGATCTCCCTGAGGATCTCCCTGAGGATCTCCCTGAGGATCTCCCTGAGGATCTCCCTGAGGATCTCCCTGAGGATCTCCCTGAGGATCTCCCTGAGGATCTCCCTGAGGATCTCCCTGAGGATCTCCCTGAGGATCTCCCTGAGGATCTCCCTGAGGATCTCCCTGAGGATCTCCCTGAGGATCTCCCTGAGGATCTCCCTGAGGATCTCCCTGCTCCCTGTTTCCAGCCCCTGTCCCGGCTCCCCACACCCCGGAAGCCCCAGGGACGCTCCTGGGGTCCCAAACCCCCCCGGCCCCGTTCCCAGGACACCGAATCCCCCTGGAATGAGCCCCCCCGAGCGCACCCCGAGGCTCTGGGTGCTCCCCCGCAGCCCGGGCACCCCCAGAGCGATCCCAGCACGGGCTCAGCGCTCCGTAATTAACGACTCGGGGGTCTCCGGGCTCTAATTAACCCCAAGCCGTAACGAAGCGGGCACGGGGGGCGCTGGAGCCGCTCCGCCCGGCCCCTGGAGCCCCGCTGGGATCCCTGGAGGGGCTGCTCCGTGTTCTGGGCTCACTGGGGTGCTCTGGGGGGATTTTCCATCCCCCAGGACCCCACGGAGGGGTCCCGGGCCCCGAGTGCCACCCGCACGTGTGGGGACAGCGGCCCGGCTGTCCCTGTCACCCCAGGTGCCACCTGCCCCACCCAGGGCTCCAGCAGAGGAATTTGGGGTTAAACCAGGCCCAATCGGGCCTGGAGAAGGGAGGGGACGCACGGCACAGGGACAGGGACACGACTCGTCACCGCAGCAGGGAACCCAAACCCCACATCCAGAGCTGCCCCTGGGGGCACAAAGGGTTAAAAATCCTGACAGGAGAAGGGGGAAAATTCCTGCTCTCCATCCCCACCCTGCTCCCAGAGCCCGTGGTCTCACTGGGGGCACAGACAGCCAGGGGAGCACCCCAAAATCCTGCTGGGGACCCCCACGGGGCACAGACAGCCAGGGGAGAGATCTGAGCACCCCAAAATCCTGCTGGGGACCCCCACGGGGCACAGACAGCCAGGGGAGAGATCTGAGCACCCCAAAATCCTGCTGGGGACCCCCACGGGGCACAGACAGCCAGGGGAGGGTCCTGAGCACCCCAAAATCCTGCTGGGGACCCCCACGGGGCACAGACAGCCAGGGGAGGGCCCCAAAATCCTGCTGGGGACCCCCATGGGGCACAGACAGCCAGGGGAGCACCCCAAAATCCTGCTGGGGACCCCCATGGGGCACAGACAGCCAGGGGAGCACCCCAAAATCCTGCTGGGGACCCCCATGGGGCACAGACAGCCAGGGGAGGGCTCTGAGCACCCCAAAATC